ATATATATATATATATATATATATATATATATAATTGATTTTCCTTTCGTAAAAAAATGTATTTATTTAATTATATTTACTGTAATTTTATATTTCTATAATCTCTAAATTTCACAAATTGCTGAATATTATGCGATTAAGAATGAGAAAATACATGAAGAGTATTAAACAGTCATTCATTTCTTTTCCTTCAGCTTTGTGCCCTCATTTATCATAGGTCGCCACAGCGGAATGAACCACCAATTATTCCATCATATGTTTAATGCAGCGGATGCCCTTCCGCTCAATGAGTGTGTTTTCTCCACTAATTTCTTTGTTTGTCCAGGACTTGTGGGCTTGTAATGTGAAATGGGTGAGAGGAGTGTGAATATTTATCACTCAACTTTAAAAACAACTGTCAGAGACGCAGAGGGGCATACCATTAGCATAGCGTTTCATTTAGCATTAGCGAGGAGTCTCCTGTGAGCAGTAAACTCTTAAACAAGTGTTTTTCTCAGCTTTATGAGCACTTCTGTCCCTCATGACATTCACTAAGAAAACTCTCAGAAACCACACATTACACACACGAGTTTACTAGTCTTCTGCCAATGTCAGAGCCCTGACACTCATCCATCACACGAGAGATCACTTATTGAGTAAATTATATATCTTTATTTTCAAAAATATTTGCTTTATTTAGTCAAAGCGAGTCTCAAATTCATGACTTATTGATTCAATTTGTCCAATCAGACTGAATCTCCATTTATCGACTCAAATGATCTGTTCAGGCTGTTTCCAGTTATTGACTCACTGATTTAGATGATTCATTCAGAGCAAGTCTTCAGTTAATTATTCACGGCTTCAAATGATCCAATCAGATGAAGTATCCAGTTAATGATTCACTGAATCAGATGATCTAATCAGAGCAAGTCTTCAGTCATTAATTTACTGACTCAAACAATCCATTCAGAGCAAGTTTCCAGTTAACGTTTCACTGATTCAAATGATTCGATTAAATAAAGCCTCCAGTTATTGATTCGCTAATTCAGGTGATCCATTCAGAGCAAGACTCCAGTTAATTGACTGCTTCAAATGGTTTAATCAGAGCAAGTCTCCAGTTAATGATTCACTGATTCAAATGATCCATTCAGAGCAAGTTTCCAGTTAATAGTTCACTGATTCAGATTATTCATTAAGAGCAAGTCTCCAGTTAATGATTCACTGCTTCAAATTATACAATCCGATGAAGAATCCGGTTAATGTTTCACTAATTCAGATTATCCAATCAGAGCAAGTGTCCATTTAATGATTCACTGATTCAAACGATTCATTCAGAGCAAATTTCCAGTTATTGATTCGCTGATTCAAATGATTCGATCAAATCAAGCCTCTAGTTAATAATTCACTGATTCAGATGATCCATTCAGCGCAGGACTCTAGTTAATGATTTACTGATTGAAATGATCCATTCTGTGCAAGTTTCTAGTTATCGATTCACTGATTCAGATGATTCATTCAGAGCAAGTCTCCAGTTAATTATTCACTGCTTCAAATAATTCAATTAGATGAATTATCCAGTTACTGATTCAGATGATCCAATCAGAATGTCTAGTCAATGATTCACTGATTCAAATGATCCATTCAGAGCAAGTCTCTAGTCAATGATTTATTGATTTAAATGGTCCATTCAGAGCAAGTTTTCAGTTATTAATTCACTGATTCAAGTGATCCATTTAGAGCAAGTCTCCAGTTAATGATTCGCTAAATGAAATAATCCATTCAGTGCAAGTCTCCAGTTAATGATTCGCTAATTGAAATAATCCATTCAGTGCAAGTTTCCAGTTAATGATTCACTAATTCAGATGATTCATTCAGAGCAAGTCTCCAGTTAATTATTCACTGCTTCAAATGATCCAATCAGATTAAGTATCCAGTTAATGATTCACTGATTCAGATAATCCAATCAAAGCGTCCAGTCAATGATTCTCTGAATCAAGTGATCCATTCAGTGCAACTTTCCAGTTAATGATTTACTGATTTAAATGATTAGATGAAGTCAAGCCTCCAGTTAATGATTCACTGATTTAGGTGATCTATTCAGAGAAAGAATCCAGTTAATGATTCACTAATTCAAATGATCCATTAAAATCAATCCTCCAGTTCATGATTCACTAATTCAAATTATCCAATCTGATCAAGTCTCCTCTTCTGACCTCTAAAGGTGCTTTAGTGACAGACGTTAGAGGACATTGTCTTTAGCCTCCTTATTAAAGCAACCGACTCCCGTGCAATCGTCGGTCCGATCCCAGCTCAGCACAGGTACGGTACAGCAGGACCTGTCGGTTACATGTGGGGGCTCGTCCGGGATGGGAGTGATTCAAACGATCCATTCAGGGCAAGTCTTCATATAATGATTCACTGATTCAAATGATCCATTAAAATCAAGTCTCTAGTTAATGATTCAATTCTTCAAATGATTCGATCAAATCAGTTTTTGCAGAAGTATAAAAGTGACATTGATTTATCTTGCTCTTTCTGTGACATTTCCTTTGACTGTCTCTCACTTATTTTGGGAATGTCCTTTTGTTCATTCTTTTGGGATTAAATTGAACGCTTTCATAATCCAAAATATGTGTAATCATTTATTGTTATATAATAGACTCATCGTTTAGACAGCAAACGTATTTTTAAGTGTTCTTTTACTGCAGTAATATTTCATTAGAGTGCCTGTGCTTGATTTGCACCGCTGGACAGCCGACTGGTATCATCAGCTGATAAACGGCAGGAATGTGGTGTGTTTATCAGAGTCGAGGCCGGAGAGATTTTAACAGGAGCGTTCGGGCTAAAGCCGGGCTTTGATGTGTCCCAAACTCATCTGAGCTCAGCAGCGTTTCCTCATAGTCCAGATATGAGCGGATAACATGATCATATCGGCACACGTCGCTGTGTGGTCATGAGGGAAATTCAAGCGCTGCTTTAAAGCAATGGCAGCGCCGTCAACACCGTCGTCAGGTGCATCTCCAGCGGATTTAGCTTCTGA